GGTTTCCCAGAACACATAAAGCTCCCAGGCCCATATGTGCTCGGCTTGTCATGACGCCGTCTGGTCTTCACTTGTCACGTGTGCACGTGACTCGTGACACAACACTTATATTAGGGGATGAACAAGGGCGTGTCCATGTTGGTACCTTCAGTCTCCAACAACGGTTCTTAGAGGCCTTCCTGTTCGCGAGCACGCAGTACTGTTGGTATCGTAGAAACTCGGATGTTATCTTTACTAGCCAAAGTAACATCTGAGTGGGTATCAAACTCCCTTTCATAATAGACTCTTGTCGACCTCCGATAGGCCTCGCCACCAAGCGGTTCCAGCTCCACAAACACCTGTTGCTACAACTTCTCAACCACCACCCGCAAAGCGAGGACCAGGACGACCTCGGAAGGAAGACGAGAAACTAGGACCAGGAAGACCTCGAAAGGAGTTGTCCTTCATCCATTTGAGCCTTTTGTTCGATTGATCGATATCCTCCTTGCCGGGGTCTCTTGTTTGTGCGGCGATGGATAGATCGAATGCGGCTTCAGGTTGCGTAACTGTAGCCAAATATGCTCCGCGAGCGCGTTGTGACTCGTATTATTGCTGAGTTGTCAGTTGTTCTCTGACCTTGCCTCGAGTTCCGTAAGAATCCGATAACCTTCACTCCAAAGCACTGGTGACGAGCACCTGTGCGTGCAAAATGGCAGTATGTAGAAGTCCTTCCGCGGATCCTCCAGGTGGACCGAGAATTGTATCTATCCACATCTCTTGGAATCGTTCGAAAGCGGTCTTCGCCTTGAAGGAAGCCATCTTACTGCCGGAAATTCGATAGCTTCGTCTACGCAATGTAGTACTGGCTTCTGATCTATCCAACAGACGTGGACGTGGACGTTCTGAGTGCAGTTGTTGCAGTCGCGGGTAGTGGAAAGGACCGTTCCCTAAGATTTTTCATTGAGTCGACAAAACATATTCAGAAACTTGAAGAGCTTGAAGTTATTGTCATAAGGGAGGCGGGCATTACTCTATACACACCTGAGTTATAAAATATTATCCCAAAGACCTTATACAACTAAATTAATTATACCAGTAGTTTAGAACAATTGTTACTTTTCAATACTTATTGTGCCAGGTGAAATAGGGCAATGAACTTACTTGTGCAAGAGTTTTAACATAATGACTTTTGATAGCGTGTACAGAGCAATGCTCGCCTCTCTTACGCAAGAGATGAGATATGGGCAAGGTCCCAAATGTTTTAACTCGAGGTACATGTCCATTGGCCTCAGAGTGCTCAGGCACGTACTGGAATAACCAAACTTCCCTAAGATGAGATTGAAGGGAGATTATATGGGAGCAGAAACATGAGGCTCTGAGGTGGTGGCCGCTGTGGAGACAGTGGGGTGTGTGCCGTGAGGATCGATGGCATTCAATGGATCCTGATGAACCATTAGAAGGTAGATTCCACACAATGTTGGGAAGTCACTGACCAGAACTTTCATCGATGGAAAACACCGGACTGAAATCATGTCCCTAGGTTGCGCGCTCAAAATTGTTTCTTGCAAACTTCCCAAGTGCTGTGTTCCAAAATCAATATGTCAGCACATGAATCTCAACAAAAAGATTACACTCACTTACCACCACTCCACCTGTAGCTAGTTCCATCCAAACAGCACCTCAACCGGTCTTCGAAATCAAGGGAATGATGAAAACTTGAGTTAGAGAATCAGATCCGATATTCGACTTTTGTGCGGTAAGCGAAAGTCAGGATTGAGGACATAAAACTTACGATGGAAAGTCGTGAATCCAGCTTGTGCTTCCAGAAAGCAAGAAGAACCATACGGCGGAACCAAGCACCATCACCTCGTCAATCTCGTCAGGATACCATCATATCAACACCCCTTCTGTCCTAGGATGAGAAAGTCAGCAAGTCGCCAACAGAAACCGGGAGAAGAGCTAAACTAACAATTTCATCCTCCCTCTCACAAAACTCCACCTCCCCAGCCCAAATCACCTGTGGCGAGAAAAGTAAGAATGGACAGACGAGATGAACTGAGAAGATGAAGATAAAAATGCTGAGTTCCACAGTCTTTATGAACCCGTCAACTCCCTCCGCGGCCCAAGTCCCCTTCGTTGCTTACCATCTTAGCCACATCAAATCGACACAGAAATAGTTACACAGCATACTTCTCTTTCATGGAAGGACACACCACATGCATCAACGCGACTCCATCCTGCAAACACACCAATAATACCGAGAAAAGACTTAACGAGGAGGAAAAAGTGCAAAAATGATATATCACATCCCATCACATCCCCTCACACCAACTGGCAACTGCAAGCACCCCATAAGACGGAGGAAAGGGGTTCCGGAATCGATCGGCGATTGAGTTGTTTTCCAAAAGGGATAAGTGTATGTCAGAAATATATGGATGAAATACCGTAAACAGTAAATCTTATCACGGGATGGATATTCAATCTACTCGACCTGCCTCAAGGTTAGAAAAGGAACGTAGATAGAAAATGTGATTGACTATATACATTCATACATCACCTGCCCAGAGTAAGAGAGGCGGACATTACTCTATACACACCTGAGTTATAAAATATTATCCTAAAGGCCTTATGCAACTAAATCAATTTATACGAATAGCTTAGAACAATTGTTACTTTTCAATTCTTATTGTACCAGGTGACATAGGACAATTGAGTTACTTGTGCCAGAGCCTTGACATAATAACTTTTGATAGCGTGTACAGAGCAATGCTCGCCTCTCTTACGTAACTTGTGGCGATGCAAAATACAGTAATACACAAGAAGGATTGTCAAGAAGAGGTGTAGAAGCCATTAGCATCAATTCTAATTTATCACTCGAGAAACACAAAGCAAGAAAAGAGAAGATTTGTATTATGAAATTCCATTATTCATTGCCCCTGAGGGTCACATTGGGTATCTACCAGTCCTGCTCCACATATCCCATTCCCAAGTCTAGGTATCATCCATAACGCCATACATGCCATTTTTTATACAGAAAAAACTCAAAAAGTCCTCGCTCAAAATCATTACCATCATAACCCCTATCTCTCCAATCACTCCTACATTCCATATCCCATATCTGCTAGCTCTCATCACTCCCACATCCCATATCCCATATCTCCTAGCTCCCCCTCAAATCATACAAAACCAGATTCTGTTGAGTGCCTGCGACAAGAGGGCTTCGTAAGAAGGCCTCAAGTTGCAGCGGCGAGATACAAAAAGCTCAATCGCCGTTGTTTGAACCTGCCTTTGCGTTCTTGCGTTTGAGTTGGACGAAGACATCTTTGTCAACGAGAAAGCCACCTTTGTCGACAACTCTGTCCAGATTCACTCGGTTTTCCTTGACCCATTCCCGGACTTTCTCTTGGTCCAAGATAACGGGTTGTCCGGCATCTGGACCGCCGTACGGAATCAAGAGATCCAGATTCATTGAGTTGATGGTATCAATGCAATCTTTCTCCATGATGCAGGTCTCACGGCTGATTCTCTGAATGTCAACGAGATGACAACCCTTCTTCTTGTCAGTTGTGGGATGCTCCAAGATCCATCGAGCCAATTCAGCCTGCCAATATCGTCGGTAGCTTTTCTCACCCAATGAGGAGAATGGGCGTTCTGGGCCACCGATTGACTGCTCCATTCGGCTGATCTCGTACGAAACTCCAATCAGCATCTTTCCGAGGCTCATATTCTGCCAAGGTGGGAAGACAAGAATGCAGGCAAGGTTGTTTTTGTCGTATGAGTTCTTTTCCTTGGAAAAGAAGCCGACGACTTGTTGGTGTCCGGTTGTGGGGTCTTTATGGACGAGGCAGTAGTAATAGAAGAGCGAGGTGTAGTAGGACACGCTCTTGTCGCCGAGGAAGAGTTTGGCAAAGAGGGATAGATTCTGGCAAAAGAGCTATTCAATGTTAGTATGTATACCGGTGAATCAACATAGAGGAAGTTTGACTCACTATATCACTCCCCCCGTCAACCTCGTGAATACTCCATACGCCGGCACCAGCATGGTCATAGATCTTTTGTCCTCGAATTTCATCCGAGCAGAGTCTATGATGCTTCACATGATCCTCAACCGTCGAGGTGTATGCGAAGCACTTTTCGCAGACGTACATCCGATCCAGGACGGGTTCTTTGGGCAGCTCCTTGTCGATGTTGTTGTGGAGCGTACTCTTTGGGTAGTCGCTGCTATACCACGTTGGGAAGCAGAGTGAACCAAAAACTACGTGGTCGATGTTTCGATGAGCGCGCTCTCGAGTGATTTTTGCCTTCTTGACTTCCTTCTTGAGGTCTTTTTCTCCCTGCGCCAGCTGCAGAACCAGCTGTTTCCTCTCGGCCTTGTCGATACACTGACGGGGAGACTCTCGTTTCAGGCGCTGTTGCTCAAGGAGATCTTGTTCACATTTTTTGAAATTCTCATCGACATCCACCATCCGTTTCTCGATCTTCTCGCGAACCATGTCGTTGGTGTCGAGCAATTCGTCTCCGAAACTGTTGGTGGTGAGCGTGGTGCTTCGCGGGGTTGCCATGGAGGTAAATGCCAAGCCAAAGGTAGCTTGGAAGTCGAAATTAGGTCCGAGGTCAGGTCCGAGGACGGAGCTTGGTGGTGAGGCCGGATCCTTTTCGGAGTTCATGGAAGTCTGGCTGGTTCGGTCCGAAGCCCCGCTGGAAGCCGATCGCGGAGATGACGCGGACGCAGAAGACCATTGGAAAGGGGAGGGATCCCGATTTGGAGCAGGTAAGAGCTTGCGACGTTTGGCTTCATCACCATACGCCAACTCCCACGCTTCCATGTCGAGTTTTCTCTTGTGTCTGGTCATTTTATGATGGTCGGTGTGGCCTTTCTTCTCACCCTTCACGAAGTCCTTCTCTTGTTTATCGAGGTACGCTTTTTCCGCTTTGGTTCGAACTCGGACTTTCTTTTTTGGTAGGTTTTTCTGGTTTCGCTCGTAGAGGTCTTCGGAAATCTGGGAAACCTGATGATACCAGGAGGCGAACCATAGATCAATTGCCTCTCTGGGGAGCCAATCATCTGGCTTGAGTATGCCCTCTTCGACCACATAGTCTTCGAGCACATAGCCAAGCTCCTCGGGCTCCTTGTTCTTTTTGCCCGTCTTAGGAGTCTTTCTTGAGGCCTTCATTTGCCCTTGAAATATCTTAGCAGTCATTGAGAACTCGGCTTGCTCTGGGAGCCTCTTAGCAGGCCACCATGCCTCGAACTCGGGCTTGGACTCCTGGTCGACATTACGTCTCTTACTATCAGTCATCCGTCTCTTGGTTGATTTGGATGACTTTTCTTCCGAGGCATGAGATTCTCCATCTTCTTGGGAACTTTCTGAAAGCTTTCGCTTCTTTGCCGACTTTCCTCCAACGCTCTCGGGTGGTGGCGTGTCCTCGAGTGGTTGTTTTCCACCAAAGCTTTGAGGTGGTGGAGTATCCTCTAGTGGTTGTTTTCCCCCGAAGCTCTGAGGTGGAGGCGTGTCCTCCAATAGTGACATTCCTCCAACGCTCTCGGGTGGTGGCGTGTCCTCAAGTGGTTGTTTTCCACCAAAACTCTGAGCTGGTGGGGTATCCTCGAGTGGTTGTTTTCCTCCGAAGCTTTGAGGTGGTGGTGGTGGGGTCTTGTTGGTCTTGCTGGTCTTCTTTTGTGATGAAGCCTTAGACACTGGCTTTGCCGGGGTATCTTGGGATGGTCGGGGAGACTTGACAATCTTCTCCTCAACGGCGTCAACCTTTTGTCGCTTAGGTGGTTGGTTGACATCGCCGGAAGAACCAAAAACTCTGGCGTCTGGAGCAGACTCGGCTAACTTTCGCTTCTCTCCGGGGTTGGCAGTAGTGGCAGCCGGAACGGATGCAGAAGCTTCTGCCTTTTCTGCTCTAGCTCGAGCAACCTCAGCTCCAGAGACGAGCTTTCTGCGGCGCTGTGGTGGTGGCGGTGCAGCTTTTTGAGCGTTGATTGGCTCGGTTGGCTTGGCTGGCTTCGTTGGTGCGGCTCGCTTGGTGTTGACATTTTTGACGGGCTTTCTAGGAGCATTGGCTGCCTTAGCTGGCGGCTGGAGTTTCTTTGGGGCCTGGGAAGGAGCCTTTTGTTTTGGTGTCACTGTTGGCTTTGCTGGTGGACCGTTTTTATGTCCAACCAGGGGCTTTCTAGGCGCAGGTTCCTTAGCTGAGTGCTGGCGTTGCTCTGTGGCCTGGGTAGAAGCCTTCTGTTTTGGTGCCACAGTTGGCTTTGCTGGTGCGCTGGCTTTACCAGTCAACGTCTTTCTAGGGGCGCTTGAGGCCTTGGCTTGCTCTTGTTTTTGCTGAGCAAGTGCCTTCTTTTTCCATGCCTCGTGGTCATCGATGGCCTTCTGTGGTAGTGGTGTCTTGAGTGGGCGACTTGACAAAGTTCTGCTTGTGGCCTTGTCAAAGACTTGCTCAACGTTGTGACCGAGAAGGCCAGCAACTACTCTGACGCCAAGTCGTTGCTCTGACTCGTTGTTGGATGTGGTTGGGGCGGTAGAGGAGAAGGAGGATGGGAGTTGTGCAGGTGCACGAGACTTTTGGATGCCCTTTGGCTGGGCTCTCTCGTTGTTGGATGAGGAAGACATTGTGATGAGATGTCTTGGTGTTATTGTCGGAAGCTGTTGGTAGGGTTCATGATTAAGTGTAACGCGTTGAAGGATCGCGTGTCAAAGACGAAAAGATGATCGGTTGGTGTTGGTGGTGGTGGTGGTGGTTCTGGGACAGGAACCGGTCGAAGACTTGATATGAATCAACGGTACTGCTACACCAAGTGCGAAGCGGTACTCGTTCGTTGACAAGTCGAAGGATGGGTCGGTCGAAGAAAGAGTTTGGTGGGCGACTAGACAAAGGTCGCAAGAGTATCAAAAAGAAGAGTCGAAGCTATCTAGCTGCAAATATCGCGCGGACAATAATAAGCAACAGAAAATAGATGACAAGTCAGAATGATGATGGTATTCACAATAATCAAGAAGTGCTTGAGTGGATCTGGGAATGTTGTATGTTGATGCAACAAAGTCAGAATCAGAAGTTCTCGAATCATGGATGGAAAGTTGCCTGGGAGGAAACGGGAGTCAAGCTTGGGAAGAGCCGTGTTATGAATGTTTGGCGGCGCGCGGAAACTTGGGTCCAACGGGCGATTTTGGCATTCACTACTACGTCGTCAACGGAGTTTCCTATGTCAGAAGCGTCGCTCCATCCGCGCCGTTGGTAACCGGGTGACAAAATGGCATTCACTAACTGTTCATCGGGGCTTAAATCGAAGTATGATGCTCCGCCCTATTGGGAGTGTTAGGGGTCATAGGCGTGGTGGAGTGGTTTAGGTGATCGCAAAGATAGCCGGTTGCTACACCGGTCACTTTTGGGGACGAAGCTAGAGTGATGGTTTTTCTAGTTTTGGGGGGTTTTGTTGATCATATTTTGCTGTTACTTGGATGGTCGTATGATATACTCAGTTCTTTGCGAGTCCTATCTATAATCTTGTTGTATTGCTCAAGTGTTTCTCTGAAGATATCCTTGCCTCTATGCAACTAAGCGAATTCTATATATATGTATGTCATTTCTCCCATGACCGACCACACGGTTTCCATGCCACTCATCTGCCATAAAGCAGACATCCCCCTAAGAAAGAGAAACAAGTTTGTGGTTTTATGAAAACTAGCACAGCTAGAAAAACCTATATCATGCGGCTCCTAACGGGTATTAACCGAAGTCCAACGGTCTACGCACTAGTCCTAGCTTCCCCCTTAATCTAGCTTCCCCCACACATCCCATCAACAAAGTTACCTTACCCACGCCTCAAATTTACATCCCTCCTTCTTTGACAGTCTTACATTTCCGAAAGTAGGCACGGTACTCTTCAAGTGTCAATCTCATGATTCTGCAGATAACTCCGTCCTCTTGTGATATCGATCAACATCAAAGTGCGCGTGTATAATGCACAATCCCGTTAATCTATCCATCCAATCGCCCATCTATATTGACATCTCTAATATATATGAAAACATTCATGACGGGGAAAAACTAGCAAAACTAGAAAAACTACATCATGCCGCTCCCAAACGGTCATTAGCCGAGCTCCAACGGTGTCCGCACCACCCCAGTCACTAGTGCTAGCTTCCCTATCAGGCCATCGAGAAATTTACCTTACCCACGGATCGTAGACTACTATGAAGCAGGGTTTTTGCCTCTCGTCATAGCTTGATTGACGTGGGTCTTGAGAATGGTTGGGTAACGGCGCGATGGGTGGTGGGTGGTATGTGGTGTATACACGTCTGTGCTTATTCCATTACTTTCTAGAAATCAGTGTAGGCAATAGTTTTCTCAGTTTTCTCAGTTAGTTCAGTTAGTTCAGTTTTCACGGAATTTAGCTCAGTTTTATAAGCAAAATCCAAACTATCAGTTAGTTCAGTTTTGTCTATTAAAACTGACCAGTTTTCTCAGTTTTATAGAGCATTTTGCAGGTATTTTATAGGGTATATACTATAGGAGTAAAGGCACTTTAAAAACGACACCTTTTTTCGTAGATTGAATTTTTTGTTCTAAAACGCTCAATCTCTCTTACTCTCCCCTAATAAGCTGAATTCCTTCCATGGAGACACCTCTAAGGAGGCCTCCGGCCACGACTACGCCCCTAGGAAGGGGTATAGGGAAAGGGGGGGTACGCCCAATTCCTCCCCTCCCCAACATACAACAACAATTTGTCTCTGGGACAACTGAAGCTCTAGAACGTGGTGCTATAGGCCAAATCTTCTTTGGAGGCACCGCAGAAGCTGTAAACCACCACCTAAGTACTGCTCTTGATAGAGCACCTCCGGACCTCTTGCCCTACCTCAGGGCCTTTTGTACACAGGTGGCCGACCTTAGCCTAGCCTTTCACCGAACATACACCTCAGGGGCCCCGCCTCTACTACATTTAGCTCCTAGAGCCCCCAACAGGTGTAGGGACGACCCTACATACCCCTCGACTTCATCCCCCTCTCTGGCCCCTGTGAGAAAAGTTTCTTACGCACAGACCATAAAAGATGCCTCAGCGCCTGATACAGCAACACCACAAAACCCCCTACCTCCTCCTGTCACTTCGAAGCTACAGAAGAACAAGAGATCCCTAGCCAAATCTGACCTCAGAGTCTTTATCCGACTACCTCTAGACGCTCCTGAAAGGAAACACTCTGCTCTAGCTATCTACCTTGCTCTCTGCGACCCAAAAATTGGCTGTAGCGAGCTTGTACAAGAAGTACTGTCAGTTAACTCTGGCTTTGCTATTGTACCTAATAGCAAGGAAGCCCGAGCCACCCTCTTATCAACAAAAAAGGCCTTTATTCAAACCCTGTTCCATGCAGCCAGAATAGAGGCCTCGCAAGACTGGGCAGTATTCCGTTTATCAGGGATCCCTCGAAGTGTTGAAACAGTCCAGATCAATGAAAAAGGAGCAATTATATCAACCCTCATCCCTACTACTCCTAGTGTAGTTACTGCGGCTATAGAAGAGCGAATGAGAGTAATACCTACAAAGGTTGACATGGCTACGAGCTCTCTCTCTGACGGGCTGTTCTACACCTCTTGGATAGTATTCTTTGAGGAAAAGGACACAAGGGCCCCTCGCACCATCCCTGAAATGACGTCTCTCTTTGGAAGAAGAGCCTTCTTTAAGCGCCTTCCTAAAGTCTCTACTGTTACACAGTGCTCTAAGTGCTGGATGTGGCATAACTCAAGGAACTGTGGGAAGAACCAGCGTTGCCGCCTATGCGGTACCACTAAACACTCTGAAGCCTTCCACCCTAGGTGTATTAGACACTCTCAGTGTAAATTGAAGTTCCTACACTGTAGTGGCCCACACGCCTCTGACGACACCACGTGCCAGCTCAGACCAAAAGCCTCAGGGGCTCACCCCTCAACCGAGAACAAGAGAGCAATCCGGCAAGCATGGAATGAGACGCGGATAAGAAGAGAGGAAGACTCTCCCTGCAGCAGCGTGGACACAGAAATGGACCCGGACCTACCTACTACCCCTCAGAATCCCCCCCCTCAAGCCAGCATAGATAGCCCTCTTACAGCCCCGTCTATATTCCTTCAACGAGCCAATAAGCCCCTTGCTACGACAGTAGAAGAGGCGTACTACGACCTCCCTAGGGAGAGAACCCCGGACATTAACCACTTTACTGTACTATGAGTAGACAAGGATTTATTAAGAACCACTGCCTCCAAGTCCTACAAATCAATGTACACAAGTCTAGCGAATACCAGGAGCTAGTACTACAATTAGCCCACTATAAGCGAGTCGATGTAGTACTAATTCAAGAGCCATATATCTATCTAAGAGATATCAGCCGCCAGATTACAAGACGCCACCCAAACTACGACTGTTTTACGCCTATATGCGAATGGAGCATGGATCCACCAAGAGTACTCACTTTTGTACGAAAAGGGGCTGGAATCCTTGCTAGCCAACGGACCCCTATCGCCCCCTCGCTCAAATCCCGCGACCTCGTTTACGTTGAAATTCCACTCCCTCAAGGCCCCGCACTTCATATACTTAACGTATACAACGCCACTCTAGGTGCCAAGGGAGCAGGTGAGGCTATAAGCCTTGTCCTTAGCTCTCAACATATCTCTACAACAAACCTCTTCCTAGCTGGGGACTTTAAC